AATGTATATATATATATATATATTATATATATATATATATATATATATATAAAATATATATTTTATTTCATACGCTATTTCTGTATCGTAGCGTAGACTTAGGTACATGGTTATCATTCCGTCGGTGTGAAATATTTCCTAACCTTTATATCATCTTTGGCGCTTAATTAAATAGCCGTAAGAGTATGCAGTAAGACGTAAACAGTAAACTGTCGATTATTCTTGTTGAATTGTAAAAATCCCATTAGCCAGTAGTTTACTGCTTACGTCTTACTGCATATTCTTACGGCTATTGTAGACGGTCCTTAACAAACGACGATTTTTGTTTTTCAAACCATCGTTTTTACACAAAAAGATATCAAATAAGTATAATAATTCCATTGAATATAAGATGAGAAACCTAAACTTAACATTTACCATATAAAATATGTTTCAAATACGTAGATATATATTCTGTATATGGAATCTTCGTGTACATGCGCGCAATCATTGAAAAAATTATAAATATTAAATTTACGCAACTCTTACTCACCGTCCACGTTAAAATCACAATCGATGCCTTCCATTTTTCCCACTATTTTACCGGTGTTTTATACAGAAGTTAGATATCTGAAGTTAGGAAACACTTGACTGCAATAAAAATGTTAACAACACTTCACTAAATTATACTAGCAAAATTTAAAAATCTGCAAGGTTAATAAATAACGAAATAAAATTGAAACAATTTTCAAACTATAATTTATTTTGTTCTATTAAAAACGAATATAACCTACAAAAATGACACGTCTTGTTATCATTGAACTATGACCAGTGACCACGTACTTCTATTGGCACATGCATCGTGCAGCCGGACTGCACACGGGCTCACGGGACGCGGTAAGCGTAAAGGTAGGTTTTCATGGGTAGTGTAATTAAAGGCCATTGCACGTAACAAAGTTTTAGTTTTAATCGTAATGGAGGATTCACATTGCGTCCGATCACGTCCGATGTTCGACGTACGACGATCCGACATCCAATAACAGAATTTATTATTAGAGACAAAAATTTCCTATTGGATGTCGGATCGTCGTACGTCGAACATCGGACGCAGTGTGAATCCTCCATAAGGCCGTAAGAAAATAGACCAATCACACTTGATTATTCTTCAAGCGCGAGGAGAATAATCGACTGTGATTGGTCTATTTTCTTACAACCTTACGATTATGACTAAAACTTTGTTACGTGCAATGGTCTTTTAACGCACAAGCTTTGGCGTATCCTGATCTGTCAGGTCGGGGACTACGACCGTCGTATATCGCTACGCCATGTTATGTGCTTTGACCCTGAGTATACTAATAATAGTGTTTTTCATGGACAGGGGCCCTATTCTTGAATCGTTTTCATGAAACTCGCATGCGAAATTCAATGCTTTTCAAATAGAAAGTCGCATACAAAAATCATTAGGGCAGGCTCGAGAATACGGTCCCAGGAACTCAGTGCACATTGGGCGCGTTCAGCAGAACAAACCGCTCAGTAGCAATCGAACGTGATTGGCTCTTACTTTTAGACCCAACAAATCAACGTAGCGTGTTGATAAGACAACACTCAACAGTTGTGTCTGCTGAACGCGGCCATTAAAGCCGTACACTGATAAAGTAAAATGCAAATATTTCGACTAATAAAATACCCAATATATATTTTGCCAAGATATATTTATTCAGAATACGGGCCTAAACGCGAATATAGATAAAATTATGTTCGATGACGCGTTTTTGCACGAAATAAAATAATCTGCCAAATAAACGCGGCGGTCTGCCTCGCGAATCAAGATATTAATCGTTACAGTTGACGACTATTTTAGGTTAGAAAATCTGACATCGACGAAATGGAGTGATACGAGCATGCGCTTTGGTGACTTGCGCATCATAATTATATATTAAAATAGACCGCGTTAGATAACAAAACCCAATTAATATATTTTCATATATGTTAAATTAATAGCATGTGTTTTGTATATATATTATACATTTTATACATTTGTTATTATAATAAATAATGTATTTCACGTTAATTATTTTGTAGTAATTTAGAATACAAGCCCAACCTCCAATACTGATAAAATTATTTGAATAAAGTAAAGAGCGCCACTAACCTATAGGTTATTTACGTTTTTCTTAATAAATACTGTAGATAATTATTTTGTAAAGGTGGAGCAAATTCAAACGAAAAGGAAGCAATTTTTCTGTACCTGTAAATCTACAAATTCTAATGATTTTCGCTTATATTAACGTTTACATTATTGTTAATTTTATCATTTATTTATAAAAAAAAGTAAAATGGAGCAAATTATGGAAAATGCATATTATGAAGAAGCAAATTAAGCAGATTTTTTTCATGCGTGTTTTATTACTGTAGAGATCGCTGGCTGGGAGCTTGTGGGCGTTGTCCCCGTTCGTGTCAAAATCAAGGCCGGTATTCATCCGGTATTCATAATCAGCTAGATCTTATTTCAAGACCGTCTTAAGGGGATGCTAAGGGCCTAAGCAGAATGGCTGTCTTGGCAGTTTTGTATGCCTTAAGGATGTATCGGAGGTACAATCTTAGACAAAAGTGCATGAAATTTGATATACTTAAATATCTACGTCTAACGTATAGTAAATCTAGATGTAAGATACTCAAATGATAGTAGGAGTCTTATTTTTACTCCTAGAAAGGTATTTTTTACTTTACAAATGTTTTTTCCAGTATTATTTGCGATTTTTGTAATTTATGAGCCTAAACTTTTGGCAGTGAAAATGCCCTGATTTCAACTTTATAACGTCAAATTATTTCAAAGCGGAAGACATTATTCAGCAATGCTGATAAACAAATGTGACTTTAATAACGTCAAAAAAGATAAATATCATATAAACGATAATTTTGAATATTATTTATTATAAACATTGTTATGCGACTCTCTCAAAAGAGACGTGACAACGATTCACGTAGATTGGCAGCCTTGCACAGTACCAAAACAGTGCGAGACTTGATGCGAGCTGCGAAGTGCGAGCTGTTATGTCTTTTCGTTTACATTTTTACAATAATCCCGCTATGTTTCTCATTTCCCCTTTCTATCTCTGGTAATTATACAGTTTAGGGGCTTCACCTCAAATATCGATGAAATTATGCTCAATTGACGCATTTTTGCACGAAACGAAAGAATCTGGCAGAAAAAAGTGTCGCTCTGCCCCGCGACGCGAGATATTAGGTTGGCAACTAAGTTCCCGCCGTTTTTTTAAATGTTACTATAGACACTACAGACGCGCGCTTTGCACGCGCTATTTAGCTTTAACATTACACACATATATGTACATACATACAATGACAGCTGCTCATGAAGTAAGCATAGCGAGAGAACCAATCGGCATCGCGGAAAAGAGGGAACAATAAACGCGATATATTTGAGTACCGACTTTGCACGCCTTTTTTTAGAAAGGAACATTCCGCATGTCATTAAATGTTTTTAGCATAATGTTTTAAATCATTCGAGGTTCAGAAGTGTGGAGCATGGGTTCCGCATGTTTTAAGTGACAACAACAAAAATCAACGAGCCACAATCTCCGCTGGTTTTCTTGCTCGTCACCGCTCAACTCATTTACACAAGCAACGTTTTCTTTACCGAATCGTTACTGGCGACGAAAAATGGTGTCTGTACATTAATATGAAGCAGCGCAAGCAATGGCTTAGCCCCGGTAAACAAGCGACACCGCGCGTGAAACAAGATGTTCATCCGCGTAAAACGATGTTGTGCGTATGGTGGGACTGGGATGGGATTATCCATTACGAATTGCTTGAACGGAACCAAACGGTCAACGCGGAACTCTATGTTCAACAAATAGAACAACTCAACACGGCTATTCAAGAGAAAAGACCTAATCGGCAGCATGGAGTTCTTCAGCCATGCGTTTGAATGGCTTACTTGGTCATATTGGCGATATGAGCATGCGCATGTGGCCGCAGGGCATGTTCAATGTGGTTCAGTGTTGCTACATGTTGTCGGTATGACAGGAATCATAAATGACCCTTAAACTAGCCGACAAAAATTACTAAATTTGATAATTTTTAATTTTTCTAAGTGTATTTTGTTTGTAAATCGTTTGTAATTGATTGTGAGTCAGTTTTTAACGTTTGTGACCAATTAGTTTGTTTGTAATTAACAATTTTATTTTGGTCATGATGTCAGCCGACACTTTTTCATAACAAACCGATTTTTGATTTCTGATAGCTGTAATTAATAGGAAATCGTTTGTGATTTACGAATATATTAGTAAAACGTTTGTAAGTAAATAAATTTCTGAGTTATTTGCAAAATAAGAGTTCAGTTAAGGGAATGCTGGAGCCGTTTGTTTTACCGGCATTTTTTGTCGGCACGTAGCGTCGTATTAATTTGACAGAATTAAAAATCCTTCTCCAGAATTGCAGTACATACATTAATGATTCGGGGAAACTCCGATTTTATATAGAAAACGAGAAAAAATTACGGAAGTACAGATTTCCTTATCCTACTCTTATCCCAATATGGCGTCTCGACTGTCAGCTCGTCACAAGATGTATTTCATATAAGAGATATACCATTGGTACGAACGCGAAAACAAGTTTCCCCGAATTGCACAACAAGAAAAACATCGATAAACCCCCCAAATCAAGATTTGGAAGCGTAATATAAAAGTATAATGTCGGTGTGCATCGTGCGTATGTGTGCGTGCAATGTAGCGTGCTATCCTTGTCTATATCTTTGTCTATACAAGGACAGATATAGTTCGCCGGTCTTCTTTACCGACGCCGATCGAGTTCGGCTACGGCTCCAGCATCCCCTTAAATCGTTAAATAACCGTTCCGGAAAAAAACAATTTCTTTATAATAACCATCGAGAATTCTTATACGATTATAAATTTCAAGTAGCTTAACATTATATTTGAATGGATGGATGATTAATATTATTTTAACTTTGTCGCGATTTTGTAATATCGGAATAATTTTATTTTCAGGGAATTACGTTAAATTCTTTTTGCATTCTCGTTCTTCTCCATTTCTGTTTTGCAACTATAAGTGTACTTTTTCTTTTTGTTCCAGGTGAGTATTCCTGTTTCATGAAGCAGTCACTTATAATAGCAATTAGTGGTGAGTAGTGTGATTGATTTTTGAAAGACAATCATCTTCTGAAAAATCTGAGACATCGATAAGTTAAAAAAACGGACGGTGCATTTACCAACTTTATACTCTGTATGCCATACACGAAATGAAAATTTCTTCGACGATTGGGCCTTACGTATTTACATGGCGCACCGGTTGGATTTAGACACGTTGCATCTAGCACCACCTTTTCGCGTCGCCGTCACTTTGATTCTCGTTTCTCCATGCACGTAATCGC